TTTTACCCACTTTGCACTGGTGTGAATGTGTTTACAAAGTGCATGATCAGTTATGATTATTTTACCTGCTCTGTACTATTATGAATGTGTTTCCACGGTGCATGACCAGATTATAGCTTTTAGGCAGCTCTGTGTATGACCAAAATTTCAGAATTGAATAGCTTTGCTTTGTATATGAGTACTAACTCATACATGAGTAAGGTTATTTCGAGTACCTTTTTATTGCGATTTTTCAGTATTATATAGTTTATCAGAATTTACATTATAGAATTTAGTTTATTTAGTTTACAGAGTAATGATTTTAGCTTATAGTATTGTGAAAGAAAATTTTCACTTATGTCTACTTATATCAGATTATTTATATTCATTATACCTAATAGTTACTATCTAGAACAAAGAATAATGAATTTTACGATGCAAGAATGTTTTAGTTTTAAAAAGTGTTATCAGATTTCAGTATTTCTCAAAGTTTTAATTGATAAGAATTTTTAGAAAATATGCATAGACGGAAAAATATACTTATGCGCAAATTATCCATTCACTGAGCTACAAGCTCATATTTTGTTACACTTTTTCTTATCAGATAGCAGCAGAGTTGAGCAATATTGGAGCATGTAGATCTACCGAGTTGAGCCACACATTTTTGTTAGTTGTATGACCTATTTTGTCGGTCTCCATAGTTTATATTTCTTTTGAGATATATGTATGTTTTGTTGGAAAAGTTAATTAGTAAATCATGTGTCCATATCATGTGCTCACTGTATATTTGGTATCATTAATGCTTTCGGGGACTTTTGTTTGTAAAGTATAGTAAATATTGATTTGCCAGCATTTTATTATTTTGAGAGACTAGTGTGCCCTATTTTAAATTGTATAAACATGTTTGAGAAAGTTGATTTTTATTCAGGTGCTTTTAGTCCATATTTCAAAAGAAGTTCTATCAAATTTCTTTTTAAAATTCGTCATAGTCAAAGTAGGTCAAGATTGCCTTATTGGTGGGTTCGGCACTTAATTGGTATTTACCATTAGTGCACAACACGTGTCGGATCTATTAGAGTGATTCGGGACGGGTCGCAACAAAACCAATCCTCTTGACCTTGTAAGTTTAATTTCTCAAGGGATTTTATGCGTTCAATACCTTCGAGAAAATTTTGAAATGAATTGAAGTGTACTGAATTGGAGAATTTTCCAATCTCCAGTTCTATTAAGCTGTTAAGGCATCTGATCCCACTCAATTCAAGAAACGAAGTGAGATTATCCCATCCAATCACAATTAGCTCCTGTAGGGATTCCGTTCCACTCATTTTAGGTAGTGATGTGAGATTATAGCAACTAAATGCCGTAGAGATCCCATCCCCCTCAATTTGGGAAGCGAAGTGAGATTCAGGCATCCGCACACAGATAGATGCTGTGGAGACTTACTATACTCTAGCATTTCATTTGGCAGGTTGCTCAACTCATAGCAATTACGAATTTCCAAATTCTGAAGGGAAATTGGGCCTTTTTTGTCCATTTTAATATGAAATTAATTGCAGATTTCTACAATCATATATTTCCAATGTCTCAAGAAATTGGAAGCGACCTAGGTCATAGGGTAATTCCCTCAATTCATCACAATACGAAATTTTCATCTCTTTAAGAGATGCTCCACTGCCCCGAAAGTGGAGAACACGAGCCAACTTATCACAAAAATGAATTTCCAAATATTCAAGGCAAAGAAATACCTACATTCTCCTCATTTGTGCTTCTTCCCGCTCTGTAAGGTTTGGCATATCCCATATTGTAAGATACTTAAGCGATGGGAAAGATACTCTTGTCTCCTAGCCATCGTTTTCTAGTTGAGCTGCAATCACTCTTTCCATAGAATGATGGTCTTATCGATCTTACGTTTCTCAGATCATAGAGCTTTAGATACTTGAAGAGTGGTAGGTGGCTGAGCATTGTGATTTCTTCGCATTTGTCACAAGAATTAAACTTGATCTTGATCAATCTATTAAATATCACCAGACGGCCACCAATGTCTTTACATATTCCCATATTGCTAGTCCAAAATGGAAAGTTATTACCTCAGAATCCTTCAATTATTAGGGTTTTTAGCTTTCATGAGGTTGCAACCCTTCAAGTATACTCTTGTCATTGATGTTACTTTCTGTGGAATCCGTTGACTTTCCAATGGAAGTATAACTTATAAATGTTTAGCTTTCTAGCCATATTTGCATGCTCAGCTTCTGTTTTGCAACACACCAATTCTAGATTCCATATTTGTAGTTTACCCTTTAAATTCTTCAACCTTCCTAGCTCATCGATTCGACAACCTTCCTTGTTGCTCATACAAAATAATGGTAATGTTTGAAGGCAGGATAAACTTTCAATTTTAGGTGGCATCTCGAATTCTCCGCTAACATCATTAAAACGGAGATGCTTTAAATGAATCAAGAATTGCAGATCTCTCGGAAGCCTTTGAAGTGATGGAAATATGTAGCTGTGTAGAATCGTCCAGGTTCGCAAATTGTAGAGCTTGCAAACAGATTCTGACAGAGTAGTGAGATCGTGATTGTAGGACACGTCAAGATATCTCAAATGTTTCAACGTGCCAATTGATGTTGGCAATTCTTTAAGATCTGCACAACATAGCTTTGGAACATGCAAATGCTTAAAGTACGGCAATATTTCATCTGGTACGCTGCTGCTTAAGAACAATGTGCGGAGATAACTGCCACCTCTTTTATGTCCTTGAATGTTTCCTCTCCAATTGATTCTATTGCAAGGTATCTAACTTGAAGAATGTTAGTAGCATTGCTACCCTCCATATTCATGAAACTTTCTGATTTCGAAACTAAACATGCAAGATCATGGACAAGATCGTGTATCTTGTAGCTTATGATATTGCCATAACTGTGCTTTTACGGCTCTTGGAAGAAGAATTTTTGCAACAAAATATTACAAATTTATTGCCTTTAGTCTTTTTAACGCCCCGAGCTCTATGGACTCGTGACATTACTAAGATCTTAAACTTGTAAAATTCTACCTAGATTGTTCATAAAATGCAGAAATTAACTTGGACCAAAAACATTAAGGCTTCAAAGGACCCGTTACAAAGCTAAAGAATTTTTCTTTCGAAAAGTTTAGATTTTTAGCTTGTACATTTGAAATAAATTTCGTTCGACAAATAAATAAAATCCAAAATTTACAAAATTTAAAGTGTAGACATCTTACACATAGAAGAATTACATATTTAAATTTCGTATACAAATTCAATCGATAGGTGAGTTAAATTTGTTTTCAAATCGGATCTATTTGTTGTCGGGTACATTTTTGCAGCCATCGAGAAACGTCCATAACTTGACTTTTACACAACCAAAATTCATGATTCTAAATCTGAGAGGTAGATAACTTATATGGTTATCTTCTCCAACTGGAATCACCTCAAAATTCCAAGTGTCTTGGTCTGGGTGAATTTTTTAAACTTGGGGGCAGAAACTAAAATATTTAAACCTTATTGTTGCAACTCAAATGAACTAAATAAACCACCATAAAAATATTCTATCAACCATGAAAAAATTTCATCAACAATTCAATCATCAAGCTTTCAAGAAATACTAACTTAAAATATTCCAAATTTAAATATTATTTGAACAAAACATAACTCAAATGATGTCCTTTGGAGTTCACATCAAAGCAACACCGCTCTCCTCCACACTGTCATTGATCGCTTTAATCTGAAATTGTTAGTGGGATTAATATTTCATAGAAACACTCAATAGACTCATACACACGTTAAATCCAAACATATTATACTTTAAGCATATATTAATGTCATTCAAACTTTTAATAAGCAAGCATACCGATGTAATAGTATACATAGATGATATTTTAGTATTTAGTAAAAATAAACAAGAATATAGAAGACATTTACAAATAGTATTTTCAGAATTTATTAAACATGGATTAATAATTAGTAAGAAGAAAATGATTTTATTCAAAGAATTTATAGGCTTTTTAGGAGTTAACATAGGAGAAGGCAAAATAAAGTTACAACCCCATATTGCCAAGAAAGTTTTAGAATTTTCAGATAAATTAGAAGATTTAAAACAAATCCAAAAATTTTTAGGATTAGTAAATTATGCTAGACCATTTATAAAAAATTTGGGAAAAATAGCAGGACCTTTATATGCTAGACATCTCCTACAGGACAAAGATTTTTAATCAAGAAGACATAAAATTAGTTCAACAAATAAAATAAAAAATAAAAAATTTACCAGAATTGGCTATGCCATTAGATTCAAAATACTTAATTATAGAAACAGATGGAAGTATGATAAGATGGGAAGCTATACTAATATGCAAACCTAATAAATATACTGATAAAAATATAGAAAGAATTTGTAGGTATAATAGTGGAAATTATAAGGAGAAAGGAAATTTAAGTAGTATAGATGCAGAATTATTAGCTATAAATTATGCATTAGATAGTTTTGAGTTATTTATTATATCTAAGAAAGAAATAACTATAAGAACAGACTGTGTAGCTATAGTCTCATTTGTTAATAAAATGAAAATAGACTCAAAAAGAAGTAGTAGAAGAAGATGGTTAAATTTTATAGATAGAATTACAAATACAGGAATCAATATAGAATTTGAGCATATTAAAGATAGTGATAATAAAGCGACAGATATACTAAGTAGAATAATAATAGATAGAAATTATTAAACCTGTTTAACATAATTTTGTTATATAGATGACAAGACCAAGGCCCTTAAGACCAGGGAATTCATTTGCATCAAGTTCTTTACCTCAAACTCCATTTAATCAGAACAGACCAATGTTACAAGACAGGATAAGGTTTGGAAACCAAGAACTTATAGTTTTCCCAAATAGTAATATTTCCTTTAAAACTTTACCGCATATATCTTTATCTAGAGAAGAAAAATGTATTTTAAACAATTTATGGATTTCTTATAATAAGAATCCAAAAGATCAGAAATATTTTCTTGCATGCATGAATGCATTATCAGAACATTTTAGTCAGAACAAGCAAAGATTTAAATTCTATGTTGTTGTTAAAGGTAAAAATCCAGGAATTTTTCATTCTTGGATAGAAGTTTTAGATTGCATTAAAAATTTCCCAGACCCTCTTTACAAAGGTTTTACAAATTTTCAAGAAGCATTAGATGCAGCAAGACAGCATATAGGAATAAATTTTTATTTATCTCATTCTTTAAAGAATTATTCTGACCCTCCATTAGACTTCTCTCCAAACAAAGACCAGAATATTTTTTGCCAACATTGTGAGTGTATGCAGAGAAATTACAAAGTTATTAATGAAGCCAACCAGAACTTCTCATTAGAAAGAACCCAACTTCAAAAGAAAGTAGCCCAACTTGAAAAAGAGATTTTGGATTTAAAAGTCCAATATCCAACAGGTACTATGGAGCCCAAGAAGTCCATAGCTAGTCCAGGCCAAACGGTAGCTGGTAAAGACTTATCAAATCCGTTGAAGATTGTGGAGTTACCAAAAGCCCAACAGACTCAGGGGACTGTTGATTCCTCTACTAAATCAGATAATCAGACTAAGCAGACTGATAATTCTGCTACAGAAAAAGGTAAAGAGATTTGGGATCTCTTAGGACAACCCAGTGGAAAATTTGATTACTTAATAAAATATAGTCCACCAGAACATTTTTCATGAGAACACTTTTCAAATAATCCAGATTTCTCACAAGCCCAAGAAAATCAGCCCAGTAAGGGAAAAAAAAAATTGTGGCCCAAGCTAGTCAAGACCCTTCATTTATCCAAGAAGCACAAGATCCTAATCCAGACACTGTTTCCTTAGAAAAGATTTTTGAAAAAATTGAAGAATTTTAGAAACAATCTAAAAAAGATGAAGGAACTTCTTCCAGAAAAAAGAAAAAGACTAAGAAGAAGAAAAATGATGAAGGACTGAAATAACAAATTAGAGAGGCAGTGAACCAAGCATTTGAGACAATTTTAAAAAAGAATCATGAAGAAGAAAAAGAAATTGCAGAATGTCCAGAACAAAAAGAAAAAGATGAAGCCAGTAATTCCAGACTTTCAGATGAAGAAGAAGATCCACAAGAAGAAGGATACAATAATTCAGACAGTGGAATGTCATTTTCATCAGTGACACGACATAATCTTAGTACATGATGAGATCTTCAATAATTCAGAAAAGACAAATTTTGCCAGAAGAAAAGAAGAAAAAGGAGAAGACTCAAAAATCAAGATTGAAGACTTTTGGGGAAAGATGTAATGAATTCTTTGAAAAAATAAAAGATTCTTCGACAAAAGAAAATTTTAGGAAAGATTTTTAAGACTTTTAGAAAAAGTTGGTGAAACTTTTGATAAAAGAAAGATTCCCAACTGTAGACTTTTAGAAATTTCAGTAAAAGCAGGAACTTTTCTTTCCACTTGTTAAATCTTGAATTGGCCAGAAGTTTCTCGGTGAAACGTGTGCCTTTCTCAAGGGTAGTATAGACTTTTTGCTCCCGAGAATTTTTCTATTTAAGGAATGAGTTTCATTCGATTTAGGCAGAAGTTTACAACCTGTGTATTCTCTACTATCCAAAAAAACCTTTGAAACCTTCTCTCTAGAAAAATTATTAATCCAAAAAATATTGTATAGCTGATACACTCTTGTGAATATTGAAGGTATTTTTTTTTTTTTTTTACTTTCTTTAAGTTTATCTTAGAACCTTAGGGACTTCTCGAAAGAGAAATCTTTAGTTGTAAATCTTTTAAAAGACGAATTTATAAATCCCTGATTTATGCTTTACTCTTTTGTTTATACTTTTATGTCTATTTTTCAAGTAAATAGTTGTTATGTTTATCATTTCATCCTATGCATATAATAAAAGCATAACTTGATTTCTAAAAGTCATACTGTTTTTAGGTTAATCCTGAGTGACCTAGATAGGAGAAAACTTTTGGCCGGAGTGAGCCTTTTGATATTTTCTAAAGATGCTGAGGAAAAGGAAAAAATTAATCTAAGAATTTTATAAGGGAGTGCCACGGGTAACCTTATAAAAAAGAATCAGGTTCAAGTTTATATGTCATAGGTGGTGAAAATTTAAATGAAAAAAAAAGGGATTTATATGTGATTCTTAAGAAAGATTTATAAAAAGACTAAGGAGAGTACTGAGTAGGATTAAAGTTATTAAAAGTTAAAAATTTAAAACAAAAATTTAAAACAGCCATTTAAAACAGCCATTTTAAAACAGCATACCCCCCCCCATTTGAACTTACAGGTACTAGAAACAATAGATTGTCTTACCAAGTAAAATATAGTATAGACATTTGTAGTTATTTTGAAGAAGATAATATAGTTGGAACTTGGAGTAAAGATTTAATTGAATATATATATATATATATATATATATTTTTTTCCGTCCATCCATCACTCAAAACCTGCAGAAATATTGTGAAAAGTTTGCACAAATTTATATCTTATTGTGTTAAAGAAAATCATATGTGACAGGACATACTACTAAACAAGAGACATGACACATTTTTTTGTTGCAGGAGCTCTCTCTAAGGATCTTCAATTCGGTGTTTTTCGGGCTCAGTCCAACGTAACTTTCTTTAACAACAACCAATCCAATCGACTCCAAATCACAACCAATATAGTTCACCTTGATTTCTATTCAATCTTACTCACATAGGACAAGAAAATGTGATGATTTGTGGTCATAAAGACCAGGAGAAAACACCATAAAGATATACTATGAAGGAACCACCAATTACCCAAAGTAAACAAGTGTTTTAGACACTTCTAGGAGCTGTTTTTCACACATCAAAGGGGGCAGCCGAGATTCCTCTATTTTTCTCACAAAATCATACAAGAAAAGTGGCAAGGGTTATATCCTTATATATATATTCTAGGGTTAGATTTTTAGTTGGACCTTTAAGGGGCTTAGGCCAAGATTCAAGCTGGGAATACAATTGGGTCAGGTGTAGTTCATGGATTTGGTTGTTAGATTTATTTGATTCATCGGCCTATGTCTATGAAATAATATTAATCTACATTAACATCATAACCCTGCATTTATTGGATATAAAAAATCCAACATTTCTACTTACACAGCTTACGTTGGATAAATATGACTCTACATAAGATGAAATGCAGATCTATACGCAGACATACACTGTGACACAATTTATTAGGCATATCTACGGTTTAGGGAGTTATGTAACAAATTTTTACTACTATCAAACAAAGTTTCCCAATAACATTTAAGTATCTATTTTTAATTTTTGAGAATTTGTGATGGAAAATTGGCTCACAGTTCAACTTGTTGTACAAGTTGTTGAGGTCCACTTTTAGCTTCCGTCGGTTGTTCGTTGTCACTCGTCTCAAGAAATGTGAAATTTAACGATCTATATTGTCTGGACAACATCCTTTCCATCGACTGGTATCCATCCCTCCCAGTGTGATTATAGTATCCCAATGTTAGCTTGCAAGCATAACTCTTGTCCCTATACCACCAGTAGATCCCGGAAGTCTGTTTGTGCAGAAAAATAAGTGTTTGAAACCCCCTAAAATAGACCAGATATCCATCCACGATCCACGACAGATAAAGTACCGCCTCGTATGAGAGTGTCGTAAAAGGTTACCATGACAATCATAAAACCCATCTTGGAATAGTACATTTCTATTATGGTAGTTTTGATTCTCGTTGAACTTTATATTTTGGATGTTATAAGTAATTTCATGTTCATACATATTAAGCTTATGCTAATAACACGTACCTTAGCAGCTAACTTGACTTTGCATGCCAGGAAGACTTTGTTGGCTTCCTCAACTATCTAGTTCCCATGGTATGTTAGCATGTTAAGAGTTCTCCTTTTTGTAAGTCCCATATGTAATCTGAAAAATCCTGTTTTCTCAGGGATGTCATTTTATGCTCCTGTCCTGCATCATCTGGGAGGTCCCATTTTGGGTGCGCTGCCTTTGTTGCAACCTCCTTGAAACCTCGTCTCAAATACTTGTCATAGCACTGCGATCAAAATATCAATTCTTCTGTTAGAATGCGAGGGACTCGGTTGATTACTTGAAACTTGGAAGAAGGGGAGAGGCCTATCAATCCAAACAATAACGTGTACAATTGACAAATTGCATCCTTAATAACAAGAGCAATAATAAATTCCAAAACGTGTAAAACTCAAATTATATTTATTGTGGTTCACCTCCATTTGAAATCTACAGCAGGCTCATCTTACACATGACTTATCAGAAAACTTGCCTCTTATACTAGGGGCCTACGTTTAACTTCAAAAAACAATTGGTCCATATGCAGTCCACACAATAACAGTATAGTATGATATGATAGATAACCGTAGTCAAACAAACTATTCTTTATCTCACCTAAAATCCTCCAATGCCGGGGAAAACATCCTTGAGGTTCAGGATATGATGGATATCTGAACTCTCCTTCGGGGCATGGTCCTACGTCAATGTCTACATTGGCTCCAGCTTCCAAAATATCTGACATGTTCTCTCTAAAGCTCTTCAAGTAATCACTATACATCTGTACAAATGCATTGATATATTTGAAAAAATGTATTACACTGAACATTACTAATTAGACTATCGGAGTTATCAAAAGTCATACCTGTACAGCAGCTCGACCTCACATTAAGTGAGAGGTACTCTCTCTCTAGTACCTGATCTGTTAGTGTAAAAAACATCGGGAACTTCTTCTCCAACGGCAAGTACCCAATCTGAATAGGAATGCACACAGCGTCCCTTACAATGCCACCACACTGGTATCATGACATTATAGCCTGTATTTTCAATCCACATTTTTGAACAAGTTGGAACAATTTCCTGTAGAAAGACCAATCGTACTGTTTGTGACCTTTGGCCTCGATAATTCCCAACCAGACATTTTCCATTACACCATCAACTCCTACAGCTTTTAGCTCATTGAGCTGCTATTCCAGCTTTTCTATGTCTGGGGATTCGTTTTATCTAGGAATAACTCCCAACTGTTGTTAAAGAACAAAGAAGATTTAGTACATTGGAGGTTTGTTTGGTACGCATACTCATTAGTATGTGTGCAAATGGAACATTTTTGAGACTTACCTGAAGCATTACATAAATTGGCACATAATTTGCTAAGTTGGAGCTGCCAGATTTTGAAGCCATTTTCTTGACAAGGAGAAAGGGAAAGTACTAGTTTCCTTTTATGTGAATGAAATTGAATCAATCAAGACTCAATCCTTTATATAGAAGGTTGGAGGACTTACAGCGTTGGAAAAAAAGGGAGACCGCAAAAAATATCTTGATTAAAAGACATGCAGAATGGCTGAAAATCTATAGCATCTTTTCAAGTTGTGGTTGATTTAAGCAAGCAATGGTGTTTTCTGGTTAATAATGAAAGAAGGGACCACCATAGATTACATCGGCAGTGATGCATGTCTCTCTCATTCAAACATGCGTATATAACATAATTAGTGTACATACGCGTGCCTGTGTATATGCATATAACAGTACAATATAGAAAATTTATTATATAGCATATGCATTGTCTAGTACATCAATTATCTTATGGTAAAAGGAAACCTGTCACTCGTGCCTCGTAATTCGTTGTTGAAGGATATCACGATGACTCTAATCAATTGCGAAGTTCTTATACCTAGTACTATGTTCATGTTTATTGCAAATATGATACGAAAAGTGGTTGCGCTTACTAGAAATGGATGAATATGTTGGTAATTGAGAACAAATAATCCTGCTATTCATCAATGACATACCTCTAGTGTAACAGATAATACTAGCATATTTGTAACACAGAATTCCAAATTATTGTCTCCTTTTTCTATTTTTCTTTCATAATTCATTTTATTGAATAAAATAAACTTTGAGATTTCTCTTAATTTCTCTTCAATTATTCAATACTCTGTAAATTAATTTCTTGTACTCCATCTCATTCAGTGATGGCTATAGAAAATGAAATGTCAACAACCGCTTTGGAGGGTTATGCATGTGAAAACTCTAATAAACAATCATATTGGGGATTGAATGTTGAGTGTAATCCTTATCTTTGGTCTTATACAAATAGTTACAAAGGTCCCCCGTCCCACATAGCAATATCACATGTTCAATTCAGAAGTTTCCAAAAAGTGTAGCAATTCGCCGGGCTGCTCGCCTTTTGAATAGAAAGAAGTGGGAGAGCGGAGGTGATTTCGTTAAACCGATGCATGAGCTGAGGCTCTCATGTCCCGCCAACCCTTCGAAAAGTCAGGTCGTAAAACAGCTCATAGGGAGTCAGAAGCAAGCAGAGTCAAAGGCAGGTCAAACTGACATAAGAATATATATATATATATATATATATATATATATATATATTTTATTTTATTCGCATTAGTATTATTGGCTTGCTAAGATCAGACCTTACATAATCCCATTTTTAATAAATAAATAAAAAATATATATATATATATATATATAAAATAATAAAATCTTACAAGTTACATCAAAGGTAATCTTGGCAGTTGTCAATTCGACGGTGCTCTATAATATATATCATAAATACTCAATTCAGAACTCGATTTTTGCTGTTGGAGCTTGGTTCTAAGAGTCCAATAAGTGCTTTAGATAGCTCTAAGGGCTACGTAAATGTGTTTTCTCATTGTAGGAGAGAACACAAACACTAATTCCCAATCATCACTAATGACCGCCCCAGTGACAATAATTCCCTCCATTGAACTAAAGGCAGCATCTCTGTTTAGCTTAAATTTCCCCATTGCAGGAGCTCCAAACATGCCTCTCCCCCGCAACCGCTTCCTCTCGGCTCTTGTCATCTGCTCCAGCTTTCCGCACCACTCTTGCCATCCACTTCCCTAAACAGGTCCACTGCGAGCTTACCCAAGACAGATGTACATCCTTTTAGTGAGTTAGAATCCTTGTAGACCAATTTTTTTTTTCCTACCAAAGTTCTTAGACATGTATGGCCTTTAATGCAATAGAATCTCTGTATCTGATACCATGTTAAATCGTATCATCTGAAAGCTTAAATGTTTGTAGAGAATATAAACTTATTAATTAACTTGTCTTTAACACTCAACTAGGATATCTCAAAGTAGCACAAGATTTCATAAAGGAAAAATGAGCTTGTGAAAGTGTTTACAAAACCACAAAATGCGATTTTTCAAGTGATAAAACGGTTTCTAACTGGCTGTCCACGTGGCAGTTTTCTATTGGCTGTTTCCTCTTAAATGCACCATTATGGACCCTTGATTAAAATGGATGGCCAAGATTTAGATCCCCCTTTTTTAATATGGTTAAGGACGGGTTTTGAGAGAGAGAGAGAGAGATAATTCATTTTTCACTTGGTATTTTGTGTTTTTCCGACAGTGTTTTTGGCCTCTTTGGTCGAGTTTTAAACTATAAAACAGATACTACTCTTGTATCCAGGTTAGGCGTTGGTTCTGAGATGTTTTTGTTAGGTCTTTGTTAACCGACGATCTGTAGATAATTTTGGTTGAGATCTGAATCTTGTAATCAAACTTTTGCTCTCTCTTGGACGGTTCTTGCATAGTGAAGGGCTCGCTTTTTATCTCTGAGCCCCCCAGATTACGCTTGGCTAAACTAGATGAACAATTTATGGTGTTCTTTATTTTCTGCACCGTTTTCTTTACTGTTGTTCGATTTTTGGTGATTACAATCACACATTAGGATAAAATTCCCAACAGAGCTAATTGAGAACTAAGAAAAGTCATAAATTTCCACCAAGAATCTTGTGTCTTATGCCAAAACCACAAAATTAATACAGCATATTTTTGGGGATAAATGGTAGTTTAATATGACTACTAGTAATTCTACTCTAAATATTCTATTTAACTTTTCTTTTCACAAGATGCTCTGTATCAAAAAACTTTCAAACACCTCATGTTTTGCTATCCCTTTTGGCAGGTATTGATGATTTTTTTAGGTTCTACGACTACATCGTCGCTAACCAACCACCTTTCTTCTTCTTCCCTATTTTTTCGCTGATTTTACGGTGCAAATCCTTCAACTCGTGGAGAAGATGAAGTTTGGTCCTTGGAATCAAATTTGCAGCTTAAGTCCTTGAGTCCAAATTGTAGTTTAAGTCCTCCGATTCATAATTGCAGATCAAATCTTTATTACATAATTACAGCAGTAACCCCAACAATATACAAACCCTATCTCTATTGCAAAAAAATCAAAATCAATAGGAAAACAAGGAGTCGTAATCCACCCCTTTGTTTCTTGGCTCGATTCAAACAATACATGACATCACCACAAAATTCTAAGTCGATAAATTTGTTCAATAAAAAATATCATTCATCCAATAACAAAATAAATCACATAATCCTAATACCGCCTTTATTAATACATGCATATAATCCAAGATTATTTAATTTTTGATACACAAAATAATATCAAAATCATGGCTCTGATACAAATTGTTGGAAAAATACAAAGGATTTTATTAAATTGTGTATCAACAAGAATGAAATAGTCTAAAATAAATAAAACACACTGGTGTTTTACAAATTACCCTTGTAGCATGCTTTACAAAAATTTCCTTTGCGTTCTTCTTCTTTTTTACTCTTGATGTCACTTTCAAATACTTTTGTCTTTTGTTGGGTCATACAAAAACTGAATATTTCAAAAAAGGGGTTCAAATTAAAGATATGGGAATCCTGAAGATACAACAGCACTCAAACTTCATATAAAGAAAAAAACAATAAGGAATTATCTGCTTAAATTGGAGCTTAAACAAATCTTTTAAACACTTAATTTTCGCCCTTACCTCTTTTCCCCACCTTTTTCTTATCAAGAATATCTTTACATATTTTTCTGCATTAAATTAAATTATGGTATCTATATCATCACTCTGGCCAACGTAATACACTGTTATTACCAAACTTTAATTCTACAAGAACTATTTCCATCTAAATAAGCATGTACATGTATGTGTAATAAAAATGTAAACGTTCTCAAAACTCTGGTAAAATCTTTGCTTATTTGTCTCTCTCACACTTAATTCCTTGTATAACCTCTATCATCTCTTACTTTGATTGTTAGAGTACTCGCGCTCATTGGTTCCTTTTCTCAGAGTCTTGTAATCTTGGTACCTAACGGTTTTTGTCTGAGAGCACTGTTGGACTTAAATTGGAGCTTAAACAAATCTTTTAAACACTTAATTTTCGCCCTTACCTCTTTTCCCCACCTTTTTCTTATCAAGAATATCTTTACATATTTTTCTGCATTAAATTAAATTATGGTATCTATATCATCACTCTGGCCAACGTAATACACTGTTATTACCAAACTTTAATTCTACAAGAACTATTTCCATCTAAATAAGCATGTACATGTATGTGTAATAAAAATGTAAACATTCTCAAAACTCTGGTAAAATCTTTGCTTATTTGTCTCTCTCACACTTAATTCCTTGTATAACCTCTATCATCTCTTACTTTGATTGTTAGAGTACTCGCGCTCATTGGTTCCTTTTCTCAGAGTCTTGTAATCTTGGTACCTAATGGTTTTTGTCTGAGAGCACTGTTGGTCCATGACAGATAAAGTACAGTCTTGTATCATAGTGTCGTAAAAGGTTACCATGAAATTCGTAAAGACCATCATGGAATAGTACTTTTTATATTATGATAGTTATGACTGTTGTTGAACTTTATATTCCAGATATTATAAGCAATTCCACGTCCATACATATTAAGCTTATGCTAATAACACGTACCTTAGCAGCGAGCTTGACCTTGCATCCCAAGAAGGCTTTGTTGGCTTCCTCAAGTATTTGACCCCCGTGGTATATTAAATTGTTAGAGTACCATGTTAAGAAAAACTTTCCCTTTTCTGTCTGGTAAGTTCCATTTGATCTGAAAAATCCTGTTTTCTCAGGGGTGTTATTGTATGTTCCTGCATCATCTGGTAGGTCCCATTCTGGGTGCCCTGCTTTGGTTGCAGCCTTCTTAAAATCTTGTCTCAAATACTTGTCATAGCACTGCAATCATAATATCAATTCTTCTGTTAGTATGCATGGGACTCGGAGGATTTACTTGAAACCTGAAACAAGGGGGGAGGCCTATATATCCGAATAATAACTTGTACAATCTACAAATTGTGTCCCTAATTTTCGGCAGGTCCCTCTTACACACGACTTACCAGAAAACGTGCCTCTTCATACTAGGGGGCTTAAGTATAACTTAAAATAATAATAAATAACTAAAATAAAAATAAACAAATAAATTGTTCATTTGAGGTCCATGGTGATAACTGTATAGTATGATACGATGGATAACGATAGTCGAACAAACTATGCTTTATCTCACCTGAAATTCTCCAATGCCAGGGAAAACCCATCCTTGAGTTTCAGGATATGATGGATATCTGAGCTCTCCTGCAGGGCCTAGTCCTACCTCAATGTCAACAATGGTTCCCGCTTCCAAAATGTCTGACATGTTTGCTCTAAAGCTCTTCATGTAATCACTATACATCTACACAAATGCATCTATTTATTTGAAAAATGTATAATGCTGAAGAGTTGATATTACTATTACAAATTCGAGCTATCACAAGTCATACCTGGACAGCAGTTCGACCTCCAAAGAGAGGCAAGTTATCCACAGCAAGCGAGAGGTACTCTTTGTCCCTAGTACCTGATCGGTTAGTGTAGAAAATATCAGGATCTTCTTCTCCAACAGCAAGTACCCAATCTGGGATAGGAATGTACACAGCATCCCCTACATTGCCACCACACTGGTGGAATGACATTATAGCCTGTATTTTCAATCCACATTTTTGAACAAGTAGGAACAATTTCTTGTAGGAAGACCAATCGTACTGTTTGGGACCTTTGGCCTCGATAATTCCCCACCAGACATCTACCATTACACCATCAACTCCAGCTGCTTTTAGCTCTTTTAGCTGCACCTCCAGCTTCTCTTGGTCTGGGAATTTGTTTTCTCTGGTAACAACTCCCAACTGTCGTTGACGAACAAAGAAAAATGAGTACATTAGCGATTTTTTATTACTGACACTCGATTGTATGTTTCAGAATATAACATGTGGAGACTTACCTGAAGCATTACATACAGTGGTACATAGTTTGCTTTGTTTGTGCTGCCAGTTTTTGAAGCCATTATCTTGACAACGAGAAAGGGAAAAGTATACCAGTTTCTTTTTATGTGAATGAAATTGGAGATGCTATTATTCAATCCTGATTGCATCCTTTATATAGAAGATTGGAAAATTTACTGTGTTGGAAAAGGAGGGAGACCAAAAAAAATCTGGAGTAAACACATGCAGAATGGCCAAAAAGCTATGGTATCTTATCCACTTGTGGTTGATTTAAGCAATTCATGGCGTCTTCTGGTTAATAATGAAAGAAGGGATAAGATAGATCACTCCTACAGTAATGCATGTCTCTCTTATTCAAACGTGCGTATATAACATTATTAGTGGACATACGCATGCCCATTTATGTGTATAATAGTATAAGATAGAAGCTATATTAAGTGATTGATTAGAATAACTTAAAAAGTTCATGACGTAATCAACAATTAATTTTAACCGCACATTTCGTGAGATTCAATCTTTTATAAATTTTTAACCGCACATTTCATTAATTTATATCAAAATCCGTTAAAACTTTTATTAAAAGATTTGTCAAACAACAGTAGAATGACTAACTTGCAAACATAAATTTTATCTTGTACATCAATTATCTTTTGATAAAAAGAAATTTGTCACTCATGCCTTGTAATTGGGAACAACCTGTCCTGATATTCATTAACGATATACCTCTAGAGTGACATATTATTTAATCCATGTTTGGTTTTGTTAAAAATCATATATTTAGTAGTTTTTTTATAAAAGTCGATGAAATATGGTTGAAAAATGGATAAAAGTTTCGGTCCCATTAAATGTGTTATTAAAATTAATTATTGATTTGAAAAAGAGGGAGACCCCAAAAGATTCTTGAGTAAAGACAAGCAGAATGGCTAAAAATCTATGGCATCATTTCAACTTGTGTTTCATCGAAGCAAGCAATGGCGTTTTCTGGTTAATAATGAAAGAAGAGATAAGATAGATCTTACCTACGGTAATATCATATTGGAGGGCTCTGCATGTGAAAATACTATTGGAGATTGAATGTCGAGTGTAATCCTTATCTTTGGCCAGTGAGCATGAACTGACAGGATTTTCTAATCTTCGAACTTGGCTACATTAATTTAACCAAATATTGATGACTTAACCAAATAGACGCAGAGTTTAAGAGAACACGGCTTGCGCTATTGGAGCTTGGATAAAAAGGAAACCATCAATCCTCTTAGAGACAGCAGCACCAGCAAACCCCAATCATCACAAATGACTGCCCCAGTGCTAGTAATTCCTAACTGCAGCATCCATATTCAGCATAAATATCTAGTTCAAACATGCCCCATTCAACCCCTTCCTCTGGCCATCTGCTCCAGCTCCACCACGGCCGCCATCCACTTCCCTAAACAAGTCCACGGCGAGCTCACCAAGACAGATGCACAGCTTTTTTGCGAGTTCGGCCAATTGTAGTCCAGTCTTTTTCCTACCCTTTATGCAACAAAATCTTTGTATCTGATACGAGGTTAAATCATATCGTCTAAAAGCCTTAACATTTATCGAGAAGATAAACGTATTTATTTAAATTATGTCTTTAACACTCAACTAGGATCTTTCAAATTACGTTAGCACAAAATTTCTTAAAGGAAAATGAGCTAATTGAGAACTAAGAAAAGTCATAAATTTCCTCCAAGAATCTTGTGTCTTATGCCAAAACCTCAAAATCAATACAGCATATTTTTTGTGATAAATTGGTAGTTTAACATGACTATTCGTAGTTCCACTCTAATTCTGTTTACTTTTTTGTTTCACAATATGCTCCGTGTGTGTATAAAGGACCGTGCTACACGTACATAATCATTTACCAAACCGTTTACCTATTACTCACATCATTTGGGTGGGACCTTGGCTCGGATTATTACATTACACATGGGGCCCGCATGTTTGTGAGAGGGGTGTAAATGGTTCGGCACACCCTCCTCGGTACAAACATCTTTATCCATAGATAAAACCTTCAATCACCTCATGTTTTGATATCCCTTTTGGCAGGTAGGTACCGATATCTAGTTTTTTTTTTTTTTTTTTTTTTTTTTCATTTTTTTAGGTTTTACTTTATATAACCTCCTAGAGTGATACATGGTCGAATCAATATTCGCAAGAATTTTTTGGGGAAACAAAGTTTAATGTCTCAAAAAATAGTTTTTTTTTATAACAAACATTCAATGGGTAGGATTTAATTATTTTGTGTATTTAACAAGAGTATAATGATTTTGTTTTAAAATCAAAATATGTGCTAGTGTAATTTACAAAAATTCCCTCTACGTTGTTATTCTTGATTCCTCTTAATTCCATATTCGAACCCTTTGATCTTCTCCAATATTCTTCAAAAACTCAAAATTTTGGCAGAGATTTTTGTGTATGGTCACAATAATAAAATTATGTAATGGAACATTGACATATGTGCCCATATATATTATTATATTGGATATAACTTGAATATGGAAATATTCTTGCAAATTATCTTCTTCTCATATACAAGCGGCATAAGCGTGGTCAGTGTCACGTGTCAGCTGATGGATTGGCACATCTTTGTCCAGTTAAAATCAATTATTTCTCTGCATTCTACTATAAATTATAAGTTCTGTGATTTTTATTCAAGTTTTTATTTTGAAGACACCGAAGGAACCTAATCGAACTCAATGAAGTTGAATTTCAATAAATTAATCTTTACCTTATCAACTATTTGATTAATTGAAATAATTTAACAATTTTATTTTATTTCAATAAAAGAATGAGATTGCAATCATACTCTCCTTTTTTTTTTTTTTTTTTAACGAGGTGTCCCAGTTTGCACCAGACTATATATCTTCGTCCCTGAATCTCCTGCCCCTCAGCTGCTCAGAGAGGTAAATCGCAGGATGTGCTCTTGTTGGTTCCCAAATTCCCACATGACTTTTACTTCTTCCCCAAAGGAAACTTCCTCCATGGTGATTAAAGTTATTGAAGTTTGTATAATAAATAATTATAAGCTTTGACCTATTGTTCTTATACATTATCTCATTTACCATTTCTAATACACAAAACATGGTTATAATGACCAAAACGTTTTTTTCAACATATGTAAAGCCTAAAATTTCATATATTTTTTTTTTTTTTACAAGGTGTCCGGGCTTGCGTCCGACTAGATCCTTGTCCCTGAACCTCCGGCCCCTCAGCAGCTCAGGGAGGTAAATCGCAGGATGTCTAAAATTTCATATTCTAATTTGACATGATCGTGTGTACATGACAGATTTCATCTTTTAAATATATATTTTTCATATTGTACTTTAATCCCCAATTCACCTAGATATTGACCAACAATTTAAAAAAAGGTTGAACCCCAACTTTGAGAACCTCCACCACTCCTTCCTTAGAGCTATGTGGGGGAGGTAAATTGCGGGATGTGCCCCAGTATGCCAGGGAACAAGAACTGCATGTACACTACGCCTACAATGAATTCAATTTCATGTCTCAGGAATCGAACCCCCCACACTGCGATTATCAGTAAGACGTGAGATAACCTCACTCATATGCTTTGCACCACTGGGCTATGCCCCGGGGGCGATATTGACCAGCAATTTGATCAGGCATGGCATTGTAGTAGTTAAGCCCCTATTTAGTAACCATTATTTCAGAACCATTTTTCTCTATTACTCATTTTCAATTACACGTTTTCACAATGAAACGTTCTTCACGTAAGCTCAAAAAAAAAAAAATTCTACTTTTTAATCACATATTCTTTAAAAAATTATTATTCAAAAACTCATTCTTCTCAAAACAATGACTGTGAAAGGGGCCTAGGAAGAAATTGAGGACATTATTGTAGAAGATGACCATTTAGGAGCAAAGCTGACATCGCCAACTTCATCAAAAGGACGTAACAGAAATATTATTGGTCTTGATTCGCAATATACCCACTCCTCCATGTTTTAATGTGGGCACACTAAGCCTCTATTTGAGTTTCAGTATTTAAAGGTTTATTTTTTTCACTCAAATTCATTTTCATTACATATTCTGTTAGGTTCTAATTGAGTTGGCTATTTTTTAGACAAAATGATTATTATTAAAAGAGTTGTAAAAGTCAAGTAATCTATTGGTAGGTTGGATAGATAAGACACGAGTCATGGAGACATCTATGGAAAAAGAAAAAAGTGGTCGAAATTATACTAGCCTACTGCCAAGCTGTTGCTCGAGCATCCAAAATAGTAATATTGTCACTAGTCGCTGCCTGCCTATCGCTTGAGCAAAGCATCTGATCGGGAGCAGGTATGAGTGAAGCATGTTCCAACGAGTCTTGGAGATTGTAGAAATTAGATTAGTGAGTTTAGTGGGTTTTCTAGACTAGATCATACAGTAAATTCTTATTGTCTATAGTAAAAGTCACTGGCTTGGACTCAAAATTTTTAATCCTGTGGAAGATTTTCTTCGTCAACAAATCCAGCGTTATTTATTGCTTTATTGATTATTGTAGCGATTTAACATAGGATAAACTTGACGTGGTCAATTAAACACCTAGAATAATTAAAAAGTGACTTGTTGTTTTTAATTGGTAATTTTCAATTTCGCGGTATTCACCTATTTACCCACTCTAGGTGATTTTAGGGTCGAATTAGTAATTTTCAAATAGTATCAGAGCTCAAATTCAATTCCTGTCCCTAACTTTTAAAATGAGTAGCTTATTGTCTATCTCGCCATATTTTGAGGGCAGTAACTACGCCTATCGAAAAGTTAAAAAATGAGAGCCTTCCTAAAATCGATGGATGAGTGTATTTGGTTAAGTGTAGTAAATGGTTGGACTGTCCCTTCTAGCACTGTTAATGATGTGTCGCCCCACTTCTATAGCTAATTGGTCAAAGACTAATTTAGATTAGTGTAATTGGAATAACAAGGCTTTACATGCGTTATTTATGACTGTCATAAAAGAATTTAGGCATGTGTCTATATGTGAGATTGCTAAAGAGGTTTGAGATATCTTACAGACTACATATGAGGGATTTCAGGCTATTAAGAACTCTAAGTTACAGATGTTGATCACTAGGTTTGAAGAGATTAGAATGAATGATGATGAAACCTTCGATGACTTTTATGCGAGCTTAAATGACATAGTTAACTCTAGCGTCAACCTAGGTGAGAGAATT